AAAAGTAGATTTTGTTTTGGGAAAAAAAGAACACACATCTTCATTGTAAAACGCATGTTTGGTTTACAATTAGAGAAAAGTCACATGGTCCCAAAACCCCCGAGTTTTTTTATATATATATTTTGAAAATATATTTAAAAAACATAAAAATCTATATTTAAACATATATTATATGTTAATCAGTACACTTAAATATAGCTTAATTATATTTACAATGTGAACCAGATGCCTGTAAGATTTAATGCCAGATTCAATATTTTTTCCAAAAATCCCATAAAATTATATAAATATACAATAAATATTTGTTACACATGGTGAATAATAGAGAACAAGGCCACAGACATTAACTTACATTTGCAAGAGGTCTTTTAAAAAAAACAAAACAATAGGGCCAATGACATGCATGAAATACTTTTGCCACAAACAGAGCACAGCAAAACTTCAATTAACGAGTGACATTTTTGAAACTTCAGTACAACTAAAACTGCCAAGCCCGTGATCACATATTTTTAAATAGTAGGTTTGGCATAGCATCACCAAGTGTGTCCAATAGTGCTTTTGAACTATGGGGGAGTAACCATGCTGGTTTGGGCTTACAAAAATTACAAATATCTTGCGGACTAATTTGTGATAAAATAATTTGTTGCATAGCAGATTTCTTTGATAGTCTTGTACCTAAAGAAGGAGCTGTATTTTGCTTTCTTCTTTGCACATTTGCAAAATGCAACAATTTATTCATTTTTAGTATTGAAAGGTTTACTTAGCTTTAGTCTGTAACCTATAAACCTATGAGTCTATTGATAAAACTGGACAATTACCTTTTTTGGAGGAAGTGAGTCTTACCTTGCATTATTTGAACGAAGAAATATTATTAGTCTGTATTGAATCTTCTGTCAGTGCAAAATATTTTCTTTTCTTTTTTCAGGGAAAAGATGTATCATTCCTAAGCAATTGTGTAGTACACTATCCAGCTTTTGCTATACTGATGACAGAGCCTTGGAAATCCATGGGATCTAAGTTAATCCTTGTGTGTGTGTGTGTCAGGAGTGACTTGAGAAACTGCAAGTCGCTTCTATTGTGAGAAAATTGGCTATCTGCAAGGATGTTGCCCTGGAGATGCATGGATGTTTTTGACCATCCTGTGGGAGGCTTCTCTCATGTCTCCACATGAGCTGGAGCTGACGCATGGGCGCTCACCCCACTTTCCGGATTCAAACCACCAACCTTTCGGTCAGCAGTCCTGCTGGCACAAGGGTTTAGCCAATTGTGCAACCGGGGGCTCCAAGTTAGTCTTAACTAATTTCAAAGTAGTCACCCATAAAAGGATCCAATGCATCATGGTCATCAGGGAAACATTTATTGAAAGCTAATTAATAGCAAATAGATACTAAAATATTTTTAATTGCTTCCTGTAATGGAAGACATTGCATCTTAATTAACTTCCTTTCATTGCTATACTATTAATCCAGAAGGAGGATTATACTTGTATTCCAGGAATCATTTGTACAGGCCAAATTAGGATGGTACACAATACATGAAATACAATCATTTTATTTTTCAGACTTTCCCTTCAATTCAACTGTTAATTCCATGACTTTAAATGATATCTTATTGCAATATGTTTGTGGGAATTTAGTTGGCCAATTTAGGTTTCCACTTAGAGACGAGTTATTGACTCAGCTAGACGTAGGGTTAGAAGACAACCCTTTAATAGAAACAGACATGCTTTGGGAATGTGACTCCTGTTTAGAGTTGCTAAATTAAAAAGTGAAGAAGGTTCCTGTATATTTAATGATTCTGTAGCAGAAGGAATTTTGTCAAGTGTTGTTTGTCATGCAACCAGGTAACAAGCAAGCCCTGCTGACAATACTTTTTCTACACAACTATTCAAGGTACAAATCTTCTCTCCAACTCTACATAATGATCTGGGATCTAAGCAGGATCAGCCCCGGTCAATACTTGGAAGGAAAACTACCAAGAAATATCAGCTGTTAGAATATATTAAGAAGGCGGCAATGGCAAACTATCTCTGAGTATAGCCTGAGAAAATGCTATGAAATTCATGTAGTTGCCATAGACAACTTGAAGGCAACATCAACCCACAAAACAGGGGAACAGCTATAATTTTGAATGAAATCAGAATCATCATCTATTATCGTAGTGTAAGAAGAAATACGGGAGGGATTACAATTCCTGACCTCAATTTCCACTTTTAAATGTGCAAGAAAAGTAACCTTTGTTTAAAACATAAACTTAAAAAACCTTTCCTTTTCCAAATGTGGATTAATGCAACTTTGATTTTTTTTAATTTGCCTATAAATTACAGCAGTATTGAATGCATATTTGAACATTATAATAAAGATTTTCTGGGATGTGGGCTAAAGTTGATAGTGGGAATTGTTTTTGGACGGTAAGGATTATTCAGTTGTAGTTGGGTCTCCTGTTTAAAATGGACAGTACCAACATCTGCTTTCTTTTAGGGGAACTATTTATTTGCCTGACATGGACAGACAGAATTGATTAATGGAATGGTATCTATTCACATTGATCAATTGAGCCGATGTATTCTAACAGTGAACACATGTCTAAGGATGATAGGCACATTTTAAAACAACCTCACTTTTCAGATAGTTGAGATCAGTCATAAACCTGGAATTCTTAACTTTTAAACAGTTTTCTCAGTTTTAGTTAATGGCCAAATTTTAGTTTTGATAATCATGCAACCGGGTGGGTATTAATGATAGTAGGTAGACTACTTTGCATTGCTAATTTAATTCAATGGGTAAATTATTAATAAACATTTGAATTGCTAGGGCTAAAAAATCAAAGCTATCTAAAGCCACAAATCTTTAAAATGCTCAAATATCACCTAAAAACATAGTTTTATTCATAGCTTAGTTCACTGAAACAGCAGGTGAAACAGTAACCCAGTTTCTGGATTGTACTGCTTGAAATAAGTGGTTATCAAACTGGATCTCCAGATGTTTTGGACCTCAATCCCAAACATCTTTGATAATTAGCTATGCCGCTGGAAGATCTGGAAACTGAAGTCCAAAACACCTTGGGGGCCACAGGTTCAGAACTACTGTTCTAGATGACCCAAGGGAAACTAGATGCATCAAGAGGGCTCTGGTCTAATCTTTTGTCTGACATACAAAGTTTGTAGGCAGAACATTAATGTAGACTGAAAAGAAGACTCCATCTGTAGTGGTACATCCAGATGCAGACAGATCTCAACAACTGTTTGTACAAACTACACTCTACAGCAAGCCAAAATAATATTTCTAGCAAAACTCTAAAAGCCAGGAAGCTTGCATCTTTACTGTGAAATATTTATGTGAATGCCCCTTGCAAAATTACCTTGTGTATATTGTCATACATGGGCCATAGGATGCATACCTTTACAAGGGTGGGGAATACCTTTACAAGGGTGGGAGTCATGTGGCCCTTCAGAGGTTGTTGGACTGTAATTCCCAGCATCTCTTAACATTGACTCTCAGGGCTGCTGAGAGTTGCAGTCCAACAATTTAATCTGTGACCAAGTTAATTTCTTGCTGTATTATGACTTTGTGTACTCATTATCTATTTGTGCTGTAGGTAATTCTGGGGTAGACAATAATTATCCTTCACCTGAATCTTCAGTTCTGTGCTCAGTTACTGATATATGCATCTCACTGAAGTCAGCTTTAATTAAAGTGCATACTACTGATGCCAGGATTGCATCCTAGGGTTAACTTTTAAACAAAAACTGTGGTTCTACAGGATTATGTTCCCTGTAGGAGTTAAGGCTATTGTGTGCTACCCCTCCAAAAGACGTAGACCTTTACAGGCATATTTAGATGCAACAGGTAGTTGGGTTTTGAGGTAGAAGGCTCTGCCTACCTGATTCCAGAGCCACTCCTTCAGGCCTGGATTCTTTCATATTATCTCAAGTACAGAAAGTAGCAGGTGTTTTGAGAATTAGGGCATACTAGGCATTCCTTTTGCAATAAGAGCATCAAGTGGCACTACATATTTTCCTTCATCAAAAAAGCCTTTCCTGCTTCACTGCAAGGCTATATTCAATGGGAATTGGTGCCACCAAAAGCCAATTGATTGTAGACCCACAAGGAATGGGTTGGATCCATGCATTACAATGTTGTGGCACCCCCAAAATATTTCCTTAAATGGAATCTGATCTTTGTGTGATCCCCTCCTGTTGTGAAATTTTCTGTGGTATTTCCAAAAAGCCATAAATACAAACCCTATCTGCTCCTGCTCCAGTTCTAGTTGCATGGCTGCTGGCCCTTAACGGGGATGCGATTTTCTGTCCTCATCAAGAGGTGTGCTTGTCAAAAGCCCAATGCAACCTGGCACCAAATCCAATGGGTGCATATCACCTGTGTAGGTGGCTCTCCCTTGCAACTGACTTTGTTCTCAACACCCTAGGAGAACGGGAAACGTACTTGAAGACACTGTGATTTATTTCCTTTCCAAAAGAGGGAAGGTGAAATGGGGAAAACCCATTTACAACCAACATGTAACAAGCAAAATGCAAGCCTTTTCAAGCAATAATCATAGAATTGCATGGACCAACATGAAAGTGCTGCTTGCAGACTAGGAAAGAGCACTCATTGGGAGGAACATCAACACTGCCTTTTTTTTTTCAGTTGCCTCTTTTTTATTATTTTTTTCAGTAGTCTGATTTGATATTGCAAACACCTTCACAACATACAAAAAAAACCCCAAATTTGTTTTATCCAGAACATATACGGTGACGATGGGGAGTTCTCCCATCTTTTAAAACCATGTGGGAATTTCAAAATTAAAATTAGAAAAAAAATCAACAGTAAAACTATGACAACAGCACCTTGACATTGTTTTAATTCCAACGCTACCAGAAGAATTTTAAAGCAGTAAACAGATATAATACTAACAAGAATAAAGATGCTTACTGTCTAAAATGTAAACGGAATGTTTTGGTTCAATTTTTTTTCTGAAAGAGGACAGTTTATCATCAATTCACAATTTAAGCAGCATGCAATTTTATTTTTTTAATTTTTTATCATTTTCAATTCTTGGCAATGGCAACAAACCACAATGTTAGAGGAATGTAATGCAAATTTGTTTTGTTTCTCAAAGTTGTGCGCAAATGAATATCTTTTTTTCCTCCTTTTGTTCCCCTCTAGGTCATGGATATGTTCAATAAATAGATTGTGGAACCACTGTACTGTATAAACCTCATTTATACATGCAGTCCATAAAATTATTTTCTTTCTTACTGAATAATTTACCCTGTTATGTATATATACAAATAGATAAATTTTGTCTCAATATAATCTATACAACATGACTCCACTATCTTCCCCTTTTTATGGTCAGTGTACACACACAGGAAGTGTCTATTCTTATAAACCGCCATCCAACTCTCTTTTTGTTATCCATGGTGAGAGCTCGCACGTAAGACTGGGTAGTTCGGCACTGGGAATTCCAGTACCTCTTGTCTATGCCCCTGCAGCCCTCTTTCGTATAACCCTTTGAGTTGCATTTGGTCTCATAAAAATATTGCTTCAGTTGGCCTTTGGGTACAGGTACTTTTTCCAGAACAGTAACCGTTGCCCCTGACATGTCCACCGCAGTCTTTTTCTCAGCCGCTGTCACCCATTCACTAGTACTGTCACACACACTCAGCTCTCCACGGCGAGCAGGATCGGAGTGACGCCGGACCCTCATGGACATGTTTGCAGCATCCAAGTAGTTTTTATACTCCTCAAGCAGAAAGAGCAGTGGAGGCTCCAAAGGCACTTGACTGCTGAGCATAACCCGAGACGAGTACAAGTCTGCATCCTTGTTTTCCTTGCTGGGCTGGACAGGCTGCTGCTCATCCAGGAGCTCCTCTATGACATGTTCAAAGGTGTCTGCCAAAGATGTCAATCCCCGTGTGGCATCATTGGGCCCACCTAGGTTCTCCAAGTTTCCCTGTGTCCGAAGACCGGGATAAGCCAAGCTGCCTTGTCCTCTGAGGCTAACTTCTTTCATTGGGGCAGCTTTCATGCAACTGAAGTATGAAATAACCATAGTAAGGAAAAGGATGGTCATCACTCTTTTCACTTGGTGGAACTGTTCAAGAGAGAGAGAGAGAGAGAGAGAAAGATAGAAAAGAAATTCAAAACCAATACATTTTAAACATCCACAAGGCACAAAACATGTCTAATAACTGTTGAATAGAATTATGCATGCAGAATAACCTCATGTCTTTAAACCCATAAAGGCATCAGGTCTGGTTGAAGATATTTTGTTTACATGGTAAATGACAAGATGGTTCATCCTCCCATTCCATGAACTAAACAGACCAGAATGACAAGTGAATCTTATTTTGGGTGGAAAAATAAGACTATATACACTGCATCAGCAGGCTAGTGTAGGGGACCCAAGGGAAGCTATGTGGCCTGCATGGTTGTATACTCCATCATGTTGGCCTTTCAATATCAGCTGCCTGATGTTCAACTGTCAGTCTAATCAGCTTAGTATATGGAATGAGAAGGGCACCAATTTGTCCTTTGCCACAAAGCTAAGCATCTATTGGTTGCTAGAGTAAAACCAATTGAAAAAATGGGTTGAAATAGATTCATGTAAATGGACCCCATTGACAAAATCCAGTAGTATTTAGGCCAATACATCTAGGGCATAAGGTAACTATATAGCATAAAACAGCTCCATACATATCATACCTTCTTAATGATAGATCTGCCCCTAAGAGTTATCACTGATAGCAATTCATATTAAAGACTTCCAGTCAAGCATCAGAAATTCACACCAGGTCAGTTGATGTGCAACAGGAAACAAAAGTCCTTTTGGCCAAGGGGTAATGCCGCTGGGACTGTGTATTCTTGGGGTAATACATGTAAAGCCATGTGCAACAATGTTTATGCACTTTCCCAGTTTCATCTTTTATGTCATCGCCAAGGCATTCATTTAGAGCGCTAGCTACAGCAGATGCCAAGGATTGGACCACCCCGCTTAGAACAAATCTGAAAAAATGTTGGCCGGGAAGTCTCAAGGCCCTTTTGCAGTAAATGTCACACTTTAGGCATGATAATTAATTATCCTCTATTTGCATGACAAGTGTAACAGCATGTTTGGAAAGGTTACTAAGCATCTGTGGTATGCCTGTAGTAACAAGACAAATTTCAGTAAGTTGATTGCCTTTCACAAAAAGATTTCAGCATGGAGGTTGGGACTATTGGAGCTATAATATATTTAATTTTAATTCCTCTTCCCCAGCTCTAATCTTGTGGCATCAGACCCCCCCCCCCACACACACACACCAGAACAACACCCTAGGAATCAGGGAACCAACATCATATCATGTTATACCGAACTGAGATATTTTGGATAAGGGGAAGTGGTTGAGAAGAAGAGACTTGTTGACACACTAGGATGGGACATTTTTGCTCCCCGAAATAAGGCATTCTTACTGAACCTGCACAAGACTAGTCTAACAAAGTATACATCCTGAAACATTGTAACCTGAGGGCAGACAATGAATCAGCTTTGTGCTATATACATGTTTCTTATTCTTATTTGCAGATTGCTCCCAAACATGTACATTATTCAAAACCTGGACAATCCTGTATCTCTTCTATTAGAAATAATTATATAGCCTAGGGATACAGACTATGCAACTCTTAAAAATGGCTAGATCACAATTCCTATCATTCCTTAAAACTGGCCAATTGCAGCCGGTGACTTCCATGTCAGTGAGATTATATATCCACTCTAGTGTTTGACTCCAAATTTTCCACAGAGTTGCCCAAGGTGATGAACCCATGTGGGAGACAGAACCTTGGATAGTACCTTTAAAAATCAGACGAAAGCTCAAAACCAATCAGCCATCCCACAGACATGTATGTTATCAGGCACCACTTCCATAGGCCAAGCTGGTTACAGTTAATGGGAACTGGCCATTCTTTTTCAAAACATTATTGGTTAGATGTAAGTTATTTGTAACATTGTCACAATTGCATATACACAACAATATATTATTATTATTTACCTCATATAACACAGTCTGTTGATTACATTTTATCTTTTACAGTTCTATACATCTATTACGTATTCCTATCCATTTCCCCCCTCCCTCTTCCTCCAACCCCCCTGCCTCTGGAAACAGAGGTGACTCTACTCATTGATTTATATTATTTGTTCAATCATGAAGATTTTTTGGTTCACTTCCTTATATTTTTCTTTCCCTTTTGCTCTGGTTATAAGCTCTTTCCATTTCAACTCCCAGTTCTCCTTTGAACGACCATTCATATGTTTTGTTCTCCTTTCAATTATGTACATAGAGCTTAGAAAAGTTTTTTTTGTTTAGCCTTCCACATAGTCACTGGATTGGGTGATTATGGGATTTGTGTCCAAAGAAGTACAATTTCCAGCACTGCTTATACTATAGCACTTTTTCTGATGGGTCATGTTGCTCCCTAAGTCTCCCAAGGAACAAATATCTAGATTTCTGCACTTACTACTACAACTACCTATTGTCTGTCTTCCCAAATCTGAAAAGTTTGCTTCTCTTTTTTCTGTGCCTGTCTAAGCCGTTCTTGTTAGAAAGTATTACTCACATTTCTAGAGAAGCAGCTAACCCTCATTCCAGTGCTTTTGAAGTTGTGTCGGAAGTACCTCATACTTGGCAGCAAATACTGGAGTAAACATTCTTTCTGTTTGCCAACACGGTACCATGTAAAAAGACTTGCTTTCATAATAATCTATGTGGAATGAGGAATCCTAACACTTGTCAGAGGAAAAGCAAAACAAAGAAGCTTTACGTACTAAGGCAGGAATTGCCCAGATCTGAGGCCCTGGCATTTATATGAGGAAATGTTCTGCTGTTAGAAGAGCATAATCTAATTTCATCATGTCCCTTGGATACAACTCAATCTTCTTATTCATATATATCATTATGGCATGGACATATAAATATTAATCATTTACCTGTCCCCTGCAGGTCATACCTGAATGAACTGTTTCTAGCAATTATTCTAAGCCCTTATAAATGTGTTGTTTAACTTCATTAGGAACATTTTCTCTTTTCACAAAACTTGCCTGAACTGTTACAATATAGAGGTGACCACAAAAGAGACACAATGCAGTGGTTATCACTTAACTGATAAACAAACAAGTGGCAAGATGTAACAGCAAAAAAAAGAAGAATTGCATATTCTCACTCTGGTCCCACGGGTGCCTGAACGCTATACACCACCCACCGACCACATGTATTGCCATCTTGCACTTTGTTTACTGCCATTTCACTCCAAAGAATTACACTGAGGCTGCTAAAGCTGTTTGAGAGTCAGGCTTGTTCCATATGATGGTGTTATACACCCCTAAATCACAATACTACCTAAAAGGAACTTCAAGGAATAGTGGAATGTAACAATGGAGAGATCTGAATGGCTTGCACAGGAAAGCAGTAATGGACTTTATTTCAGGATCTTTGGCTCTTTCATACTTAAAGTCAAATATATCTTCAAGAAGAGGAAACATAAACTGGGGCATCCTTGTTTGGGAGGTGTTAACTGGCACTGGATTGTGAGCTGTTTGGAATTCCGCTGTTTCTGAGTGTTGTTCTTTATTTACTGTCTTGACTCTGGTGTTTTTTAAGTACTCTGGTGTTTTTTAAGTTCATTTTTATAGCTTCCTCCTTTCTGTTGAAATTGTCTACATGCTTGTGGATTTCAATGGCTTCTCTGTGTAGTCTGACATGGTGGTTGTCAGAGTGGTCCAGCATTTCTGTGTTCTCAAACAATATTCCTTTTCCAGGTTGGTTCAACAGGTGCTCTATTATAGCTGACTTCTCTGGTTGAATTAGTCTGCAGTGCCTTTCATGTTCTTTGATTTGTGTTTGGGTGCTACATTTGGTGGTCCCCATGTAGACTTGTCCACAGCTGCATGGTATACAGTAGACTCTTGCAGTGGTTACAGGATCCCTCTTATCCTTGAATCTAATGTGCCATTGAAGCTAATGTGCACCTCAATTTTCAAAACCCTGAAACCAAAGAAGTATTTGCTGGCAAATGTAATGTGCAATGGCAAAAGTTGTGCTCTTTGAAATTTGGCAAAAAAAGGTATGCTTTACAGTGGTCACATGCTTAGAATTCCGTCTTTACAAAAGTGTTAGAGCACCAAAGGACCCAGCAATGGAAAAGAAAACCTTGGAGTGCATCTATACTGTAGAATGGATCCACTTTAACGTCTCAATCGTATATTATCATGTAGTTTTACAAGATCTTAAACTTTCTCTGCCGAAGGTGCTCCTGAAGAGACTTCCCTTTTTGCTTTGACTCAGAACTAAGATTACTGCATTATGTAAATCCAATGGGAAGGTATTTTAGCAAAAAAAGGTGAACATTCAATTCAAATAAATACAGTAGATTCTGAATCATTGCTCCTTCTTAAAACCAGTTCTTGTTGGCCACAAAGAACAATAATTTCCCCAATTGGCTGAAGTTTATTTCTGTTTTCTTGTACTTTTTTCTTATTTCCTTTATCATGATGACGGGTTACATTCAGACATTTTCCACTGTGAATTAGCAAGAAGTTTCAGCCAAGCACAAGTTGTTCTGATGGTAATCTGGCTTTTGGTGTCCACTGAAGATTTGTATTGCATCTTTCTATCACACAAATTGTTTAGCAACCAATGCACCAAGCTTTTGATGACCACCTTTACCCCCAACTTCTCCTCCAAACACTTACAAAGTGTACCTTCTACATAAAATGAGTATGCTGAATGTGAAGATCCCTTACCTTGCCAGCCGGGGTGGCAGGGCCTAGGAGAGGCAGGCTAGTTAGTTAAGCCT